TTATATTACGTTCTTATCCGGATTTATTGATTCAGGCACACCCCCGGGTTAATTAAATCCATCACCCGCTGTCCTACAAATCTTCGCTGTCAAACACCTTCAGCCTACACCATCAAAGAGAAGTGGAGAGGAGAGGACAGGATCCGTATGAGTCACGTATATGCACTAATTTTACAAATTTACAATCTACATCTACCTCTACATTCTACATTCTATCCACATCTCCATCTTTTTTTATGGGAAAAGGGTCAAATAGGCCTTCGAACTTTATCTTAAAAGTCAATTAGGTTTCTAAACTTTTTAAAGGTGCAATTACATCCATCAACAATTCATTTAGGTGCAATAAAGCCCAAAAACAAGTTAATAACCTGCTATCACATGTCATTAGAGTTCAGACCACCTTCCGGCGAATTTTCCGACAAAAAAAATGTGACCAGAAATCGACCCAGATTTGCCGAAAATTTCGCCGGTCACTTCTTTTGTCGAAAATTTTGCCGGTCACTTTTTTTTTTTTTGCTGGAAAATTCGCCGGAAGGTGGCCTAAACCCTAATGACCTGTGATAACATGTCATTAATTTATTTTGGGCTTCATTGCACTTAAATGAATTGTTGATGGGTGTAATTGCACTTTTAAAAAGTTTAGGGGCTTAATTAACTTTTAAGCTAAAATTCGAGGGCCTATTTGACATTTTTTCCTTTTTTTGTTTACCCTCTATTATACATAATATTATTATTTACTTCCCTGAATAACCTGTATTTTTTTTTATTTACCCTCTATTATTTATAGTATTGTTATTTACTTCCCTTAAATAACTTGCATTCCGTTAATATAAACTTTATTAACGAAATATTACATTCACTATTTAATATTCTTAATTTACTTATTAATTTCTATTTCTATTAAAAAAATCTAAGGTTCGAACCCCTTCTTAATCAGTTACATAATTATTAAACATATACTATAAATATGTTAAAATATATTTAAAAATAGTATTATAAAAATTTAACATGTAGGAGGATGTAGGAATCCCAATTGAGCTAAAATCTCTTTATGGCCAAGCAATGATCTTTACAATTTCTATGAAGAATGATCATCTTAAAAATCTTGCTAAACCAATCCATGTTCAAGGATAATCAATGATGATGATTTAGTTTCAACCTATTATCCCTCATGGACTGATGGCCAGCTTGAAAAGCTTAGTTTAGTTTCAATCTCACTCCAAAAAGTTGGAGACCTTTTGTATAGTGGATTGCTGATTTTGGTGATTGAAATTTTAGTTTCAATAATAACGGTGATCGAGTGCATGATTAGTATTCCATCTGAGTTTTTATTGGAAACATAAGGCGATCCGATTCAAGAGATTGAGGATAGCACATTTTCTTTGTATCGTAGTTGTAAAATGGACCATACACATCTTGAGAATTGAGCCATTTTTGGCACCGGCATTAGATGTTGTGGACTTTGTAAATGAATACATGAACGATATGAACGATGCGTTGTCTAAGATTTACTTGAGTTGTGATTCTATGTGCAAGTCGAATATAGATGCTGATATGTTATCTGAAGTACACACTCCTGAATTTTTAAGGCCCTGTTTGGTAAAATAGTTATCATATAGGTCAATTTTTACTTATTTGACCACTATTAGTTGTTTGACTTGGTTTAAAAATCAATATAAATGTTTGGTTAATTAGCTTTTTGTACTCCAAAATGCTAAAATTCAAAAAGTTACTCAAAGTAATTTTTTCAATTAGTTTTTTAAGAAAATAAATTATACCAAACAGCTGTCAGCTAACATCTAATTTACCAAACACTTTTCTACAATCAGCTAATGTTATCAGTTTATATCCTCTAATTAACTCAATCAGCCAACAACAAACAACTACCAAACAGGGCCTAAATAGTTTGAGATGTTTAGGTATACCAAACCATTCGTTGACATTGAAGGTTGGCCCTCCAGTTATGCTTTTAAGGAACATAGATCACTCATTGGGGTTTTGTAATGGAACAATATTGATTATCTCAAAATTGGGAAACATGGATGGCAATGGGGCGGGGTGGGTGCGGGGGATATATCCCCCGCCCCCCGCACCCGCACTCGCACAAGTAATGAAATTCCGGCCCCATACCCGCCCTCGCGGGAATTTTGCGGGTGCGGGTAATACACAACCCGCAATTCTAATTATTAATATTACACTTACATCTAATAAAAATTTTATACTATAATTCTAATTATCACATGGATTTTTTATAATTCTAAAATTTAATAAGAGCGAATGAAGTTAATCCTTAATTGGAACTAAAATTGTGTTCGTATTATAAATTGAATTAAGTGTTTACTCATTATATTATTTGTGTTGTTCTTATTCAATTTTAATTACAAAAAATTAAGAAGTTTAATTCATTATGCATTTTAATTATAAAATATACATAAAATTATATAATAAATAAATGAATACTAATAACAAAATATATAAGTGCGGGTGGGGTGTGGGGCGGGGATACCTCCCCCCATACCCGCGCGGATATACAAAATTCTCCGCATACCCGCACCCATTACCCAAATTGTGTGGGTATTTTAAAACCCGTAGGGACGGGAATGCGGGGAACCCATTGAATGCGGGTAGAATTGTCATCACTATTAGGAAACCATGTCCTTGAAGCGCAAATTATGAACATAAAAAATGCAGGGTGCAATGTGTTGATCCCACGGATGGTATTGACTTTGTCAAACCCAAAACTTCCATTTAAATTTCAAAGGAAGTAATTTCCTATTATTTGTCATACGTTATGTCAATAAAATAAATGTCAAAGACAAATTTTAATTTATGTGAGTTTGTTAGTAAGAAAGCCGATTTTTAATCCTGAGCAATTGTATGTAACAGTTTCAAGAGTTGGTAATTCAATGGATCTTAAGTTCTAATTTGTAGGGAATCTAGAGTTTTTTTTTTTTTTAATACTGTGATTTACAAAGAAATGTTTAATAATTTGTAATTGTATTTCTGTTTAATGTGATTTTTTTAAATATTATTTTGTATGTTTTAAGCATGATTTAATATTTTCAAATTATCTCGTATCTATCTACTATATTAATAAGAGCCAAAGAGAGTTAGGTTTATAATGGATAGAAAAAATAATGGTCAAAATTTTTAATAATAATAATTTAATACTCCGTAAAAGAAATAAATTTAAAAAAAAAAAACATATGAGGAGTCGAACGTTCGACTCCCCTTAGTTTTGTCACTTTTCCCACATCGATGGAAAAGAGGCATGTGAGCCTTGAGACTCCTATAAAAGGAGCCTTGAGGCTCTAATTTAAAAATTAAGCTTGCACATCCGTTGATGGGCAAGCAGTGAGTCAGCGAAACTAGCTCTTGTTATTCAAGGAGTCGAAATGACTCTACAGACAATTTTTCTTTTTTCTTTTTAATATAGTGGTGTTTTGAGGAAATCATTTAAAAAAACGCTAAGTGAAAATATTGTATTTTCAGTTGTTTGGAACAAATTGTTGCTTCAAACTGTTGAATAATCAAACACTTTCTTTAGCATTTTGATCTTTGGATTACATCATATTTACCAATCGTCCAATATCTTTGGATTACATTATAATTAAAAAAATTAAATTTTTTTACTACATCTAAATTCTTTAAATTAGGAATTTCTTTATTCATAATAATTTATTCAACAATAATGGTTGAACTAAATGAACACTGAGCAAAACATCTATAGGATTGGTATCGTTGATAAAAAATACTATTCATATACTAGTATTTTATTATGCGCGCTACGTAAAAAATAAGTGTCCAATATTAATATTTTATATTAAAATGTTAAATTTATTTAGATTTTATATATTTACATTATTGTAAATATAATAATAATGATAATAATAATATAAAATATTTTTATAAATTTGATATTATATTTTAAAAATAACTAACATATATAATGTGTATATATTATTATTATTGAAGGAGATAAGGAAATATATTGTGGATGCATGTGCATGGTAACAATAGTGGAAAAGATAACGGAAGTTATAACGGTAGGGGTATGTTTGTCCAAAATATTGTAAAGTACAATTTTTATAGCATAATGTAAAAAAAAAAAAAAAAACTTAACGAAAAAAACGGACATAAATGAAAGGTATAACTCACACTCACACTTATTATGTTTTTAGATTAGACTATGAGTTATATATTTAAACTAGTAATTCACCCCCGCGATGCACGGAAAAAAATTATGCTATTATAAATATAAATAAAAAATAGAAAAACTAAAATATTTTAAATTATTTAATATAATAATATTTTTGAGCTTTCATTGGTCAAGCATTTATTATTTTTATAGAATACAAAATTACAATTAAAATTAAAATTAAAATTTTGTATGGTTAATATAATCTCTAATTATGTTCATATTCAGATAAACTTATAGAGATAATTTACATTATTACATTGATTTATTCTTAATTGTATTTCATCTATATTATAATTTTCACAATACAAATAATAAATAAGATAATTACATTTGGAAAGCAAATTTTAAATTTTGTATGTGTAAATTTAAACTCTAATTGAACACATTTTTTATATGATTATACAATATATAGCTATTTTATTTTTCAAAAGTATATTTTTTATATGATTATATAATATATAGCTATTTTATTTTTTAATGTTGTGCTTTTTTTTTTATATAATAAAAGATGTTGTGACATTAATTATAACACTAATTATTTCTCAAACCATATAACTTTATTATATAAAGGATAAACAAATTCGACATTAAATTTTATTTATGTATGAACTTCTCATATATAATCATATATACTTTAAAATGTTTATTTAATTATAAATATTGGACATTAACAGACGTGTAAAAAAAACAAAAAAGTTTAACACAATGGCTGTATTACGGATTCAATCTCGTCTTTTATGCGAATATAATCCAACCACCCAAAACCGAAGATAAGATTGTGTTTATCTCTTTGTTTGCAAGAAATGGAACAGCATACAGGGTGCTCTTGAGTCTTGACCACTAGTCCACTAGCCCAAACTCCAAAGCAGGGTTAACAGAAAGAAATAGTCCGTAAAATAAAAGAAAACAGAGATGAGGTTTGAGCAAAGCAAGTAGCAGAAACATGGCAATATATGGAGTGGGTGAAGGTATCCTTGGCCTCAGCCTCAGCCTTGGTAATCCTTGTACAAAGAGAAAATACCAGTGCTATAGTCGTGTGAATCGCTGTGATTGCCGGAGTAGAGAGCGCAAACGGAATGCAGCATCGGAAAAACTGGTAGCACTAGTAGCAGTTGCTGTCACTCTGCAGGCAGCAGCCGCCTCTCCACTGCCGTGTTCCGCCATCCCTAACCTCCAAGATTCTCTTTACCCTCCCGCCGCTACCCCTTTCTCCCAATCCAAAAACTTGACTACCGGACTCCTAAACGGGTAATTTTTTTTTACAACTTTTCTTTTCATCCACACTCGCATCGCATGCTGTCCGTCTTCTATGAATTGAATAGTTACAATAAATGGAATTAACTCTATTTCTTATTCATCTATGCAGAAAAATAAGGCCTTGCCCGTCGGTTAATCCAGGTTGTGTGTCAACAAATCCCAAGTCCTCATCTTTCGCATTTCCTTGGAGGATTCCTCAATCATCTTCTTCTTCTTCTTCTTCTTTGGATGTCAATGATGTTGTTAGGGTATATTATATATTATTATAATTTATACATACTATTTAATTTAATTACACGTATGTATATATTACTGTTTCTTATGTACTTTTGTTCCAGCAATTGCAGGATGCAATCCTAAAGACACAGAGGAATGCAAAGATTCAAGTTGTGGAAGATACCCCATATGGTAAACGGAATTAAACCAAACTTAGCTTTACATGCATATTATTGGTGCTTTAAACTATCTAACTAGCTATCTATCTATCTAGTTATGAAATAAATTGTATGTTTTTCCTTGGAAATTGGAATTTAATTAAACTAAACTAACTGTGAACGAATTGGCCTTAGCAGCTTACTAATTAATTAGGAGATCGAACCGTTGCTCATATATACTCCATTGGTTTGCACTTTACAGGCAAGTATTTGAAAGCCGAGGTAGATGGAGGATTGGGGCGTGACGTGTTAGAATTTTTGATAAAAGGGGACGTTGTTGCATATAGAGTTATGGCCACCCAAGTTACCTATGTTTACCCTTTCACCACCGCCTTTGGGGATTCCAAGGGACAGGAAGAAAGAATGAAAAAGATTGTGGAAGAGTTAGGATGGTATTCCCCTAGTTTTGACTCCATGGACTAGCTAGGTGTTTAATTTGTAGGCATGTACGTTTCCTTTTTGCCTTAATTTGTGTACTGTAAAACCTTTTTCCCATTTCTTTAATGCAATAATGCTAATACTCGACTAACAAAATGTGGTGGTATTATTATTATTATTATTTGACTTATACGCCTGTATTCTAAAATTCCAGAATCTGCCTTTGGAAGCCACCAAGTTGTTGGCACACAAGAACTCCCACGAAAACCATTTCTCAATCATCCTATCAACATCGTGCACAACTACATCTACCGCCTGCATCTTCTCATCATCACTTGTTGTCCTTATTTTTCTTGCTAGCACAGCAGCCGCATAGATAGTGGCCATTCTGCCGGGGGACTCAGCCTGATGTCCTGAAGGACCGTCCACCACCACCACATCCCAATCTGTCTCGTGAACCTCTTGTGAAAGCCTTGCTAACAATGCGTTTGCCACTTTGCACGACCTTCCACTTCTTCTTCTTCTGTTGCTACTTGTATTACTTCTAATAAAGCTACCCAATGGTGAGCAGACTTGTGGGTGTTTCCTTGCATCTTTCAGAAGCTTATATGCATCTTCAGCACGTGTCTCATACTCCACCTTCTCAACTCGACTCTTATTCATCATCGTTTCTGTTTTCATCTTATCATCATTTTCCTCAACAAAGAGAGTGAATCCACCCACATTCAACATTGAAATGAGAGATGAGTACTGGCTTTCGAGCCCAAAAACCAGGATATTGCAGGGGGCTCTTTCGGATATAAGATCTGAGAGAAACCTCATTTCCTTCTTGCTGAGATGCTGATGCTGATCATCGCCACTTACTAGAGTGAGCCGACTTGGTGACCATGGGTAGTAGTAGAATGAAGAGAAGGAAGCAGTAATCACACTAATTTTGAAGAGTCTAATAAGGGAAGCTACTGATAATACCAAGACAAGAACTGGGATCACATTCTTTCTCGTAATTTTCATGGATGAATAACACTTACTGCACAGAGGATCAGAAACAGCCTGTTTGAATGAATGCGATTTTGGGAGATCAGATATGAATGATGAGCTTACAAGTAGTGGAGTAGTTTTGGATTGATCTTCTTCTGGGGGCATTGTTTTGTTCTAGATCAGATTTGGAACCTGCATTTCGCTTGATGTTTTCTTGTTCGCACTCAGGGTATTTTATTGATGTTAATAGGGGTGGGATTAGACATTGAAATGCTTATTGACTCTTGAGTCTTGAGTGAAATCCAAGGGAAAGGAGTTCCTTTGACACGAAGCATTTCACTTTTTTTTTTTTTTTTTTCCTCTGATTTTTCTAACTGGGTTATTGCATTACTGCTTAGGGATACAATTTATGCAATAATTTTTCTGACAACTACAATCTAAACACATTCGTAATATTTGCTCAACAACATAATATGCCAATATCTTTTATTGAAATGAGACTAGAACATGTGAATTTTCATTTAGAAGAGTCATTGTCATCAGACCATAACTATCCGTAGTTGGAGATTAACGGGCAGCAAAAGCTGTTGGTGAGTAAAATCATTGTGGCAACTGGCAATGATGTTTGTTTACTTTTTGGTTTCAGAGATTCGAAACACGTGCACACAACACACAAATAATAATAGTTACAATAATAGAGTGAAGTTGAAGAAAAGTTAGAGCTAAGTTGGTTCGCCTCCCCTGGGTGTTTTGCTTAGTTTTAACTCCAACCTTTAAACTTATAATAATAATAATAATAATAATAATAATAATAATAATATTAATAATAATAATAATAATATTATTATTATTATTATTATTATTATTATTATTATCTCGAGAATAAGATCAGGGAATGAACAATTGAAACGTTAATAATGTTGTAAATAATTAGAGGTGTATATTACTGGAGTTATCACACAAAAAAATAAATAAATAAGAAATAGTTAATTTAACCAATGAATAGTGAATAAAAAAGATCGTCTTTTATCTTCAACCAAATATTAGAAAAATAGAAAATTAATATTAAATTATCATCTTGTCTTCTGGATCTTGGTTGAGCCATACCCAACAAGATTCAAACTTGCACCTTATTATGGATTAATAATATAAACACCAACCACTCAAGCCAATAAAGACATATGTATTAAAATGTAGGATAATTTATTTACTCATGTGAAGATCATTGGCATCCCGGTAATAGAGGACATGTGTATGGCCAAGAATGAAGGCAAACTACAGTCGTATATTTGTCGAGCATCTAGAAAGCCATCTACATTATAAATATATATATCTTTATTTCCTTGTAAGACATCATTTCTTAGTCCTTACAATCTTTTCTAGTCAAGTGGTATGAGTTTCTAACTTCCAATGGGATTATAGGAATACTAGGGTTCGACATCAATTATAATATTCATTATTTAGACTGCCAGTTTGGATCGTTATCTCAGGTTTTGTATGTACTCTTCTGGACCTAGAGCCCCAAACAATAATACTACAATGGAGTATTTTCTTTCTTACCCTTCGTCTTCAAGTTAATTATAACTTTATAAGTACATAATATATTAACTGCAGATACATAATATGTTAATATAGATACATAAATTTTTTTTTCATAAATAAAAAACAAACTTTTTCATTGAGAGTATACAAAGAAGTGTGACATAATTTGAATGTCATTTTGAATCATAATTCACAATGCAAGATATACCTTGATCCATGATATAATTTGCCAGTTTCGTGCAATCGTTATACCGTGCACCAGGGCACACATAGCAATGTGCACCCGCGCCTTCCAAAACGACGTCGTTTTGTTAATTTCAGGTATAAAATTATGTGCATTCTATTATATAATTCTGTGCATTCTAAACATGGGAATTTTCAATTATAAAATTCTGTGTTTCCAGGTAGGGCTGGGCACTTCGGGTTTCGGTTCGGTTTTTTCGGTTTCGGTTTCGGTTTTAAAAAAATTAAACCATTCGGTTTAAAATAGAGTTCGGTTTCGGTTTCGGTTTGAAAAGTTCGGCTCGGTTTCGGTTCGGTTTTGGTAGAAGTCCACTAAATAAACGTTTCCTTTTTTACTTGCCCGATTGTTCAGTTGGCTCACTTGGAGTGCCACTTGAAGTGTTTTGTTGATGACAATATAAAGAATCATCCATCTATAGTTAATATTTGAAAAATAAGAATTATTAAAATGCCAAATGTTGAGACTTACGACTTAGAGTTGAGATCTGAGGACTTGAGGAGTTAAAATTATTAATTATTATAATATGTATATATAATACTAGCATTTTGTACGAGTGATGCGCGAAAATTTATGCCCAGCATTAAAAAATTGATAAATACAAATAATTACAAATTATAGTTCAAATTATATTTCACAAAATCCTTAAATTAGTAAATTTTAATCATCGTATTTGAAAACTATAGAGATGAACAAAATTGATATTTTGTTTATTAATAATGTAAACAATTTTGATATAATTTATACTTTGTTTTTACAATAAATAAATAAAATATATATAATACTAACTAGTAACCGGTCACATATATTGGTGCGTGTGCGTGCCTATATATATTTACACACATATATGATTTACTATTCATAGAAATTTAATTAAAATATAATCAACAATTAAACTAATTATATAATGATTTTAATAAAATGATAATTAAAGAATAGGAAAAAGATATCATAGATAATTATATATAGGTGTATGATAATAATGATAGAATTATGAAAGTTTTAGAATTAAATAATAACCGTGTTATAACGGTATAAGGGTATTTTAGTCTAACAATAATGTAGTAGGGATAATTTTGTCTATTACAATTGAAGTTTACAACATTTAATAAAACAATATATACCTTTATTAAGATCCAAATGTAAATATTAACACAAATGTGCCTTTAGCTTAATGTGTAAACCTCTTAACTTCAAACTTGGTGGTTAAGGGTTCAAACCTCACTTAAGACATTTAAGTATATTGTATATATTTATTATATATAAAAAAATCTAAAAACATAATATGTGCCAATGCAAGTTATGTCTTTGATTTTTGTCCCTTTTTTATATGCTAATAAATATATACATTTTGCTTTAATTGTTGTACATTTCATTTGTATTGGACAAAATCACCCTTACACCGTTATAACACCGTTAATATTTAATATGTCCACCAATCTTACCATACACCTACATCTATCATATCTTTTTCCTATTTTTAATTATCATTTTATTAAAATTATTATATAACAATTAATTTAATTAGAACATATGGCCATATGGCTATGAAATTATAAGTTTTTCCTAGATCATCTTAGGTATTTTATTTTAATATTGGGCATAAGTTTTCGCGCATCGCGCGTACAAAATGTTAGTATAAAAAAATAAAATAAAAAACTGATCGGTTCTTCGGTTCGGTTCGGATCGGTTCGGTTCGGGTTTTAACCGAACCGAACCGATCGGGTTACCCAAACCGAGTACCGATCGGTACTTCAGTTTGGGCCGAACCGAACCGAAATGCCCAGCCCTATTTCCAGGTATAAAATTCTGTGTTTTCAGGTATAAGATTCTGTGCATTTTATTATATAATTATGTACATTCAAAACATTGATTTTTTTTAAAGAGTTAAGAGTTTATGTGTATTATGTTAAGAGTTTATGTATTAGGTTAGATTATGTGTATTATCCTTTCAAAAAAAATTATGTGTATTCAATTATAAAATTCTGTATTTTCAAGTATAAAATTTTGTGTATTCTATTATACAATTTTGTACATACGGAAAGATACAAAACGACATCATTTTAGACCAGAGCGCACAATGTAATTTGCCGGTTTCGTGAAGCTGGGCTATAATATGTTAACTATCCCACTAACTCTGGGCCTCTCGCTTGATCAATTACTGAAGCCCACACTTAATAAGTCGGCAAATTATATCATGCACCGCGCGTCTTTTTTTTAAATGAAAATAAACAGTGTTTGTTTTTCGCCGTTTCGCACCCTTTTGTAAAAAGTAATCCTGTTCTTCAGTGTCATTTTGTACACACTGAAGTTTCAGTTCAACACAACTACAATTTCATTTCGATATAACTATAGTTTCATTCGATATTTATAGACTCAAATATGTGAAAAATGTTATTTAATTTTATTTTATATACACTATAGTTTCATTAAAACACAACTACATGATCATTTTGATATAATTACAGCTTCATTGTACAATATACACTCAAATATGTGAAATGTTATTCAGTTTCATTTTATATACACTGCAGTTTCATTTCACTATAACTACAGTATCATTTTGATATAACTGCAATGTCTGTTTAGATATACTATAGTGTCAGTTGGTGTTTAATACACAAAACAAGCGGACTCCGTTAACTATAACGGCGGGCCGTTTCTTTACTTAAAGAAACGGCGCAGTTTTTTACTGCGGTGCATGTGCACCGCGGTCTATGATATAACGACTGTAATAAGTCAGAGCATTATTGGTGGACCATGGTCCATACAACGACAAATTATAATGTGGACCATGGTCCAAAATGTTGGAAAAATAGCAGTGTTGCAAAACTCTCGCTTAGGCGCTAGGCGTCGCACGGTCGTAGTGAGGAAGGGCTGAATCGGCCTCCTCCGTGGTCGGGCGGCTAGGCGGCCGCCTAGCCGGTCGAATCGTCAATTTTTTTTAATTTTTTTTTTAGGGTTTAGGTTAAAAACTTTGCGAAGGCATAACTTTTGACTCGATTGTCCGTTTTGGATAAAAAAAAATTTTAATCGTGTATTTTTTCGAGATCTATGTTGCTCTTAATTTTAGTTTTTTATGTATTTAGATGGTTTTAACAATATTTTGAACAATTTTATATCCACTTAAATAAATAGTTTGTAAGAAAAAACGATGGAAACCTTATGTTTTATTAGTGAATTTTGATATTTTTAATTTTTAATTTTTTTACATTTAAAAAAAAACAAATAAAAAAAATTAAAAAACCGGCGCCTAGCCTAACGTGTTTTGCAACCTTAAAAATAGAATAAAAATGGCATTTTAAGTTGCTATTTTGTGGTACAAATATTAGTGTGGTCCATTTCTAATTTGGATCGGGTCAAAGTGGATTCAAGTTTTTCG